GTTTGTTTGTTATAAATGCAATAGGGACAGCCAGGGTGGGGAGAGTGTCTGGTATGGAGAAGATGGAGTGAAATATTTCCATAGAAAGAAGCACAAAACTAACAATTGCTGCCATTCAAAAACTCAAACAGTGTACTATCTCCAGAAAGCCACCAGTGAATGTGTCACCCCATCAGAAAGTGCTGGAAAAAAAACATCATTGGTTTCTCCTTTCTTCATCACACATAAAACAGAAAGAGCGATGCCGGGAAGGTATCAGACAGCAATGTGGAGGCAAGTCAAGAAGCCAGTCTGGTCTTCAATCAATTATGCGAGAGTATTATCAAATCAATGAATTCACAGTGTGAATGCTTGCGGCAGATGGACGAACACTTGTCGGCTATCTGGAGCCGCAAGAGAGTCAGATTTATTTTCAAAGCTTGTTTGTCTCATTTCTCCTGCCTGGTGCTGGAAGGCAGAGCATGCAGCTGTGATTTTTCAAATGCAAGAGATCTCCAACTATTTTATAGCATGTTAGATTGAGCTCTGCGAGCTAAACTCTCTAGGACTTCTTTTTTCTCCTCAGAATGAGGACAAAGTGGTATGGGTTTAGCAAGGGGTCTCTCTCTCTCCTTTCTCTTTCTGTGCCTGCCTTTGTCAGCAATGGAGGAATTAAGTTGAATCATTCCATGACTAGTCTCTCAAGATGTTCCTTGTTTTATGATGGTGGGAATTTGCTCCACCATGACCTCAGGACTGGGGCTTAAAGGAAGGGAAAAAGAAGCTTCTCTCTGAGGTATAGCTTGTGTTAGGTTGATCAGTTAGTCAGCTGTTATTGTAACAAAATACCTGATAAAATCAGCTTATAAAGAGAGAAGGTTTGTTTTGACTCATAGTTTCAGAGGTTCCAGTCTGTGATTGACTGGGCCCACTGTTTTGGGCCTGTGATGAGGCAGTACATCATGGTGGGAAGTGCATGGTGGGAGAAGTCCATTCATCTCGTGGCTGGGAATGAAAGAAGAGGAAGGGCTGAGGTCATAATGTCCTCTTCAAGGGCACAACAATGACTGGAAGATCTCCCAGTAGACCCTGTCTCTTAAACAGTGCAGAGCTGGGGACCAGGCCTTCAATGCATGAGCCTGTGGGGGACATTTGAGATCCAAACCACAGCCGATGAGTTATTTAGTTCATGGTGGTGTTACCAGTGGTCACCAGGCAGTGCTATCACTCCTTCCTGTCACTCAAAATTCTGTAATTCTTAGCTGGCAGAGAACTTGAGATGAGCTGTCTGTTACCTAAGAGGATCTAGTGACACCCAGTTCAAAAGCATTTTCCAGGTTCCTTCTTGTGGGAGGGAACCATTGTTCTCATTTTGTGTTTTGAGCCAAGTGGAAGTTGGTTCATGGTTTTAAATTCCAACAAGAAGTCAAAGAACCTGAGAGCTTCCTGACCTGGTGCACGAATAAGAAGCCTTGTTAGACAAATTCTAAGTAATTCTGGAAAGTATGAGTTACAGTTCTCCAGGAATGGTGGAGTGTCAGGCTGTGGGTCTCAATGTGTTTCTCATTCTTTCATTCATTCATCTATTCAATCAGTTGGTCAGCAAACCTTGATTAGGCCTGAGATTCTCAGTGCTACCCTATCACTGATAATTAAATCAGATTTTCTGGGTCATTTTATCATGCAGTCAAGATTAAATCTTCATGCCGTGAGGATCCGTATCTTCGTGGCCCAGGTTGATGAAAAAGAATAAGTGCCATGATAGAAGTAAGTTCAGGCTTCTGATAGAGGCATGAGAAGCAGCCCCCCAACCCAAATAGAGCAAGGATAGCGAGGAGTTCACAATGACTGGCTGGAGAATCGGACACTGAGCAGATTTCAAAGAAGTAACAGTGATTCTGAGTTATCTAGTTAAAGAATGGGAAAGGCGGGCTCTTTCAAGTCCTGGAGAGTCTACAAGACACCTACTGTAGCCTATGCCACAAGGCGGGGCAGAGGGAGACTCGGATGGGGCGAGAGGTGCATTAGGCCTAACAGAGAAAGAGTAGGTGGGCCAGCCTGGGGCGTTCAGACCTTGTTTTATAGGAAAACCTTTTGAAGGGAATTTTACTCTGATCAGATTTCAGTTTCATGAAAGGCATTCTGGCAGCTGAATAGAATAACAGGAGGATGCTACGAACAGTTACAGAATGAACAAACCAAACTCATTAAAATTGGTTATTTTTTCCCAATTAAGGTTGTGATGTAGCTCTTGGGGAAAATAGATGGTGAAATTTTCTTGAAAGAAAAATTGCCAGAAAATTCCTCTTGGGTTGTTTTAGACAAGCAGGTTTTAGAAATCAAAGAATTGGATTTGAAGTTGAAAATTAAAAGTTTGCTCCAAATGTATGTTTATGTCTGTGTGCGCACGTGTGCGCACATGCATTTGATTCTCAAAAGAAATTGCTTCTTATTTGCGGTATTTTTAGAGTGACAGTGTTTGATGAGCCCTGACATCCTCCCTTCCAGCTGAAAAGACAGTAGTATTTGTAGGGTTAATAAGAGCCCAGTTTCTGAGGTTAGAGAAATCTGAATTTAAATCCTAGCTCTTCCCTCAATTAGTTGCACAACTTTGATAAATTTATTTCATCTCTCTGTACCTCAAATTCTCCATCTTTAAATAGGATGGCCATAGTACCTCCCTGCCCCGTTACACAACTAAACACAAATAAACACAGGTGTGTGCATGTGAACAACTGAACACAGTTGGCACATGGGAAGCATTCAACAATGGCAGAAGGAACCAAAGGACAAGAGACCAAGAACAAATGACTCAGAAAGGAAATTTGATGATCCACTAAGTGACCCCTATTTCTATTCTGTTCATTCTAGCACGATCTGGCAACTTTTATTTATTTTTTAATGGAACTCCTCGTCATTGTCTGGGTCAGAGTCTTTTCAACCAGTCGTTGTAACCTCTGTGCAGAAGAACTGTATGAATCTTGTGATTTCTACTGCAAGTTGCTGAACCAAAACCTTTCTTGCAAAATGACCCGCCTCTGCTCTGGTGTTTCTCTCTCTCTCTGTTTTGAAGGCAGGGAGAATTTGGCTCCTTCGCTTATGAAATCTACAGTAACCCATCAGCTGCTGAGCTGAAGGATGCGTTCAGCACTCCCCTTTCCCCTTTAATGTGCCATTAAATCAAATACTCTATTAGCAGAATTAGTTCATTCAGTGTCTGCACTGAAACATCCCGTGAATTGCGTGATGTCTCTCGCAAATGGCCCTGCACTCTGGGGTCTACTTCAGCAGTTTATATCCTGCGGAGGAGGGCCAAGCTGCCCAAGGATCCGACTGCCTTCCTCTAAGTGAAATATTATGGCTTCCACAAAGGATAATTATTTGGATCATTTTGCCATGTGCAAACCTGGTGAATTTCAAACACTGTCAATCAGGCTCTGGCCCAAAGCCTGCTGTCCTCACACCTGCAGCCCAGGACCTGCCTTGGCGATGGCCTTCCAGCCCTCTTAGCTCCTCTGCACTACGTAGGTCTACTCCAGAGGCTGGTGCCAAAATCCAGGCTTTTGCTGAGAGTTCAAACATGGAGAGATTTCCCTCCTCTCAAATAATATAGGTCAGGGCTGTAGGTTGAAACTCAGTAACAATATTTATATTCTCACTTACTTATATTTGTCACCACTTACATGGGAAAGCAGACAACGATAACTGCTGTGCCTCTGTCACAGCAATCTCACCGTCTGAGAATTAGCAAGGACCTCAAGTACGCCATATTAGGTTCAGTTGGGGTGTATTGAGCATCAGAATGAGTTTTTGTCTGCTGGGTGATGGCTGCTGCTGTGGACACTTTGGCTGCATCCTTCATGCCCAGGTGCATTTAGCCAAGATGAATTTAATTTATTATGTCTTCTTATCCTACAGTAGAAATCCAAAGTGTTAGGAGAATATTTGCTCTTATACCAGGTAAACCTTAAACTGATGCACTGGTAAACATTTAACCTTTTCCAAGGGAAAAGCATGGATTATAGTGTTTTCCGATTTCCCCTGTATAAATACTGCCACTGTGTTTGATTTCAAGCTACCAACATTACATTATTGAATGCAGAGTTGGGAGAAAAAAGTTTGTAACACTTCCATTACATAGTATTTCCTTGAATGTAAATTCAACAGTAGTATTTAATAGTAAAATAAAATAAAATTATTAGAATGGGATGAGTTTTGAATAATCAGTAGTTCTTTTGAAAATATAAAGCATTTAATTATAAATGTGTATACCTTAGCTTTAGATGATGACTGTGTTTACAACTGGTTTGTGAAAGCCAGCTCTTGCACAGTGGGTTTAAGAGTATAAACTATTTCTTATTTCCAGCCGAGTCCAATACATGCTGGCAGTGGGTACTCAGCAATGGGTCGCCACATGTGAATTCAGGGACTCAGGAGCCCTCATCTTGAATCTACATCACCCTTTAGGAACCTCAGAGCCCTTCATTTCTGGTCAGGCAGGATCTCACATCAGTGGTTTTGATGAGTTGAACTTGGACTTTTGTTCATGGCCACAGGAGGGAATTCTGTCACCTGGTCACATTTAACTGAAAAGGAGGCTGGGAAATATCATCTACCAGTGTGCCAAGAGGGAAAATAAATGGGATTGGTGGGCACGTAGTCTGCTTCCTTCATAGCACATCTCATGATTGACTTCTTCACAGGCTGATGTTGGGAAACAGGTAAAACAGGGAGAAGCGTAGCTGGCTCAGTTTTTCTTTTTAAACATTCTTCAAGAGTTTAAAGGGCATAGATAGTGAAATTAATTGTTATGAAATGTAGCAATTAATAAGTAGAATTATGCCCATGTTAAGAACCAGGTTAAATATTACTTACCATTACTGAGATAAATATGATGCCTCCTGGGACAGGTGCTATGGCAGTTGCATGAGTTGATTTTTCTAAGCTCAGTGATCCATCCATCCATCCATCCATGTATCTGTTCATCCATAAACTTATTCACGCCTTGTGTTCACTCCTAGGGATTAAGAAGTGCTTAGGAAGTGGTCATAGTCCCATGAAGAAGAGGGAACCAGACAAGTCAAGGTCAAGGTATGTGCTCTAGCCAAGAAGAGAGAGACTACACATCTGAGAGAGACACCATTTGGGGTTCTAGATAAGTGTATGGATAGAATTTTCTAGGTTTGGAAGGGGAAAGCCATTTCAGTCAAGGAGGACAATTTGTGCCTAATCCAGGGAGTGATACAGCATGGTTTATTCCAGAAATGAGAAAAAAACTCAGTATGGCAAGCAATAGGGCTGAATAGATGGACTTAAATCAAATTGGAAAGGACTTCATATGGAGCTGAAATTTACCTGTAGGGTCTTACTTCTCAGAATGGGGGCATGTACCTGCTGGGGAACCCTGTAGCATGTCAGGAGGCATGTAAATACAAATGAAAATCTTCTCTAATCCCTCCCTGATGGTACCAACTTGAAATGATTTTGAGAAGTCCTAAAGAAGGTTCTTCCATCTGTGTGGACCAACGTGTAGTTCTGAACCAATCCTCTGGTCAGCTCAACTGAATGCTCTGACTGGCCCGTGCTGAGTCCTGTGCTCACCCTTGAGCCTGGGAGGTAGACACCCAAAGATCAAGGACTAAAAGCAAGGAAGGAGCATTTCCCTAGAGAAAAATCCAGGTATGGGACTGAAAAAAATGGGGAATGGTGGCCACATTTCCCCATCAGCAGTCACTATAGGTAGGACAACAGTCCCCAGGGCTGCCATTTATAGCAGAATGAGCAATGTATAACAGAGGAAAAATCATTGTCTTTCAGTTTTCGATGCCTGAATTGATGAAAGGACCAACATAATAAAAAGAGAGATATTTTTACTAGATAAATCCAACTGGGAAGCTGGGGCTCAGAGGTAACTCCATCTTCAGCCTGAAATATGAATCAAGGCCCCATCCTGTTTCCCCTCAGGTTCCTGACCTGGGTGGCTTCTAGACAAAGCCAGTGGTTTCATTGTGGTTGCTGTAATTGTGCCAAGTCATGACCCCACAGGGCTGAGCCAGGAAGGCTCTGCCCCAAAGCAGATAAGCCGGGCTGGTAACACGAGTATCTCATACCTCATGTCCTGTCTGGCAAATGGTTTCAGTGAAACCACAGAGCCCAGAGCTGACCCTGCTGTGCTGCTCCTGTAAAGGGACCCACAGACCCTGAAGTTTCAGGAGAGGGCCTAATGTGACTTATGAGGCCCCTCTGTGGCAGGTATGGTAGGAAGAGCCGGATCTGGAGATCAGCCAGTCTGGAATCCCAGTTCTATACTCCACACCCATGGGTCAGGGGAAAATGGCTTTAGCCTTAAATCTAAGCTCCCTCTTATCTATCTGGGGATGACAATAACCACCCTTCAGGATTGTGAAGACTCAATGAGATAACCCAAGCAAAGCACCTATCGCAGACTGTGGCACAAAGGAGCCATTATAGTTTAGATATGAGGTGTCCCCCAGAAGCTCATGTGTGAGACAATGAAAGAAAATTTAGAGGTGAAATGACTGGGTTATGAGAACTTTAACCTAATCAGTAAGTTAATCTTCTGATAAGAATTAAGTGGGTGGTAACTCAAAGCAGGTAGGATGTGGCTTAACTCTAAGGAGGTTGTCATTGGGGACGTGTCTTTGGGATTTACATTTTGTCTGTGGTGAGGGGAGTCTTTCTCTCTCTGCTTCCTGGTTCTATATCCGTAGCAGCTTTCCTCCACCATGCTCTTCTGCCATGATGTTCTGCCTCACCTCAGTCCCTAGGAATGGAGTTGACCATCTATGGACTAAGACCTCTGAAACCATGAGCCCCCAAATGAAATTTTCCTTCTTTAATTGTTCTTGTCAGGTCTTTCAGTGGCAGCGGTGAAAAAGCTAACTAAAACACAGGTGCTCAGGGAAGCCAGTCTTCTCAATAATGAAAAGGTGGGTGCTTGCTATTTAATATGTAGTCACTAGGTACATCCAGTGTCCTCCCATGCATTATTTCATCTGATCCCCATAACTGTCAGAAGTGGGCTGTTGCCCAGGGTCTCACAGTTGGTGAGCAGAAAGCTGGGATTGAAACCCAGGCAGCTGGGGCCTGGGGCATTGAGGGAGGATGGGTTCTCCACAGTGGCAGAAAGAAACTGGTGATGAAGCCTGGGAAATGGGTTGACTGGGCTTCTTTGCCCAGTTCTTGGTGCCTTTGGCAGCCACCACTTGTGAGTCAATCTTGTTGCAAATCTAGCTGTGAGTTGCCTGAAGGGTTGAGCTGTCCCAGGCTGAGTGCACATGGAAGGAGTGTAAATGGTAAGAAGTACCCATTAAAAATTTACAGCTACCATCTAATTTTTAGAGCCTTCATTTTATCAGTATAAAATTGCTACTGTATATGCCACCAAGCTATGAAGCAAACAGAATAGTGCCATCAGAAAAGGGCTCTTCTAGTAACTAAGAACAGAGTAGGGACGAAGAGCATGAGAATTAACATTAAACTGGGATGAGAGGTGGGAGGGAAAGGGAGAGAGAAGGGAAATTGCATGGAAATGGAAGGAGACCCTCAGGGTTATACAAAATTTCATACAAGAGGAAGTGAGGGAAAAGGGGAAAATAATACAAGGGGGAGAAATGAATGACAGTAGAGGGGGTAGAGAGAGAAGAGGGGAGGGGAGGGGAGGGGGGATAGTAGAGGATAGGAAAGGCAGCAGAATACAACAGACACTAGTATGGCAATATGTAAATCAATGGATGTGTAACTGATGTGATTCTGCAATTTGTATACGGGGTAAAAATGGGAGTTCATAACCCACTTGAATCAAAGTGTGAAATATGATATATCAAGAACTATGTAATGTTTTGAACAACCAACAATAAAAAAAATTAAAAAAAAAAGAAAGAAAAGGGCTCTCCTTAGGGATGATGGGGTAAAAACGTACAGTGGGGAAAATCTCAGTATTAAATTACTCTGGTACCCTCTTTCCCTCTCGTTTCGCATCAGAAGTGATCCTGAGTTCCTTCTAGAAAGAGCTGAAGGTCAAGCTACAAGAATTCTGGAGAATTCTCCTTGAAGCAGTCATTGCATTTGTAGTGAAGGTCCTCTTGTAATTTCCAGGTGGGTAAGAGTCTTGGAGGAGGCCATCCCCAGGAATAACAGATTCAACATCACCCTGGTGTTCAGCAGCCCACTCACGACACATGGAGAGGAAACCAAGGAGATAGAGCAGGGTGGCAAACCCACTGTCTCGAACCAGGCCGGCAGTTTCTTGCCATTGTAGTGATAAATTGTACACTGCTTGAACTAAAAATTGTAATAATAATAACAATTAACATTTATGTAGCATGTACGATGCTTCACTAAAATATTCTTTTAAGGTCACAATGTACCTTTATCATTATGTTGTCACAGTCTATCTATAATAATAGCAATACTAGCTAACATTTATTGAATAATTACTGTGGTTACTTTATCCACAGTATCACATTAATCTTCAAAACTTTACAACCATGCTTCCAAGTGGGAGCTTTTATTATTCCCATTGCTCAGATAATAAAGCAGGTTTACACAGTTAGTGGCTGAGCTGTGTTGCAAATTCAGTGTGTCTGCATTCACAGTTCAAGTTTTTACCTCTGCAGCTACAGCTTCTCAGAAAAGTCCAGAGCGATATCTGTTTCCCTTTTATTTTTATTAAGCACCTGATCACCCAGAAAACATGCCATGCTTCATGCATGTGCATCATGCACACTCATGTGTGTTTCTTTTATCACCTCTGCACCCATACCTGTTTATTTGCATAGTGTGTTGGGAGTCAAAGTTTGGTCCATTGTCTTCTCTATACACCTAGCTTCACTGTACTCTAGAAGATTGCTTAACTTCTCCAACATTGTTATAAAATCCCTGGAGACCTCAGTTTCCATTCTGGGAACTTACCAGAAGTTTGAGCTCTGATGAGAAACTTCATCCACCTAGAGCAGGGCAATGGGGAGGGGTAAATTTCCGAGACCAGTGGGATTGGTCCTGGCCTTAGATAAAGAGAGTGGAAAGGAGGATGGGAAAGGGCGGAGGACTGAGTGCACCCTAAGCTGAAATAAGAGGACTAAAATGCTTCTGCAATTGCGTAGGAATAACAAGACCAGAAAAGGACCAGGGCTGTTGTGTGCAGGGCCTGTGGGCCTGGATGGGGCCCTCCCCTGCCCTGGGGAAGAAGGCCTTTCATTGGTTCTGTTCAGATAAGATTTTCCTCTAGTCTAAGATGACCTTATAACTTACTATATTTATTACCCAAATCTAGAACCTTTTTAAAAACTTATTTTAATTGAGACATAAAAATTTTATATATTTAGCCTGGGAAACGTGTTGTTTTGAAATCTTCACAAATGTAAAGGTAACTTGAGATAATTAGCATGCACATTACTTCATATACATAGCATTTTTTTGTGGTGATTGAAAATCTGAGTTTATTTTATAATTTTCAAGAACACAACACAACACATTGTTATTAATTAAATTGCACAAAAGTTTCTTGAACTTATTCTTCCTAACCAAAATTTTATATTTTTTGACCAACATCTCTCCAACTTCCCTAGCCAACCCTTGGCTCTCTGCTTCTCAAGGCCAACTTTCTTGGATTCCTCATACAAATGAGATCATGCAGATCATACTTGACTCTGTATTGGGCTTATTTCACTCAGCGCAGTGCACTCCAGGTTCATCCATGTGATCACAAATGACAGGTTTTCCTTTCAAAAAAGAAAAGCATTCCATTATATACAAATATCACATCTGCTTCATCCATTCGGATACCTTGGAGAGTGAAAGGGGGCACTAGGAATACTAGACAGGACAGAGGGGTGAGACAGGACTGTCCCAAGCAAACCAGACCTGATTTTGTTTTGCTCACATCTTGCAAACTGACCTGAGAAGACCAATACATTGCAAGTGAGCATTTTCTTTTTCTGAAGTCTTGCCATCCCTTGGCATGCAGGGAGCCCTATTTCTGAAGCTATGTAGAGTTACAGGTACTGTCTATAGAAACCCAGTAACAGACACCAGGCATGTAACCATTCACTGCCTTTTAAAAACAAACTTTAGAGTTAGATGCCTTATCCTGATACTATATCATTTTTTCTGTATCTACCAAATTTTGTAGATTTGCTTCCTGAAATACATGAAGGTTTTATGAGAATCCTTCCTCAATGAAATGAGAGATAATTAAGTAGCCTGCTATACATAGTCATGTCCTGCCATCTTGTTGAAATGCTTATACATCTGTGTACACAGAGAGAGAGAGAGAGAGAGAGAGAGAGAGAGAGAAATTTAATCATATTGAAATTATTTTGTTATCTTTAGAATACTAACTGTAAAAATGTGTTTGTATTATTGGATACCATGACTTTCTTACTTCTGCTTAAGCGCCTAAAATATCTATTTCTATATAGTTTTTAAAACTCATTTTTAAATTTGAAAATAATACCCAGGGTTGGGGATGCAGCTCAGTGGGGGAGTGCTTGCCCAGCATGAGTGAGGCACTGGGATAGATCTTTAGTACTGGGAGAAAAAAGGACACAAATACAATATCATTATAAAAGATTCAAACAATACTGGTGGTATATAGAGGAAAACATGAACAATTTCCCTTTTACAACCCATATTCCAAAAGACTCTTATGCCCATTCACCTTACCCTTCAGGAATATATTATGATAGGTTGGTGTTTATCCATGTGGTCCTTTTTCTTTATTCTTTTTTGTAACACGAATTGAACACAGGGGCACTTAACCAATGAGCTGTATCCCTAGCCCATTTTTTAATATTCTATTTTGAAACAGGGCCTCACTAAGTTGCTGAGGCTGGTCTTAAACTTGTGATCCTCCCTCCTCAGCTCCCAAGCCTCTGGGATTCCTTTTTTTTTTCTTATTCCTTATTTTATTTGTTCTTTTTATGTGTACGTGACAGAAGAGTGTATTTTGACATATTATACAATATATGGAGTGTAACTTATTCTAATTAGGATCCCATTCTTGTGGCTGTACATGATGTGGAGTTTAACTGGTGGTGGGATTCCTTTTTAATGTATGCATGAGCTAAGCAAAAAAAAAAAAAACAACCAAAATTTATATTTTATTAAGAGAAAAATATGTGTTATATTACAAAGCTGCTTCTCTGATCCCTCAGATAAGCTTTACTCCACTTCCTCTTTGACTATTGGTTGAAACAGTTTTTAAATTGCTAATGGGGTCTCAGGGTCAGCTGTGCACTGAAAGAAAGAACCCTGCTTGTGAAATTCGTTGAGATCACCATTTAACTGAAGATGTTGTGCAAATTGTGCTCATCCCTTCCCAGGGATCAAAGGCCAGGATTCTGGAGCCACCTTGTTGCCCAAGTTCAAATCTCACTCCCCTCTAACTCAATAGATAGCTTTCAAAAACCACTTGGCCTTTCAGTGCCTTAGTTTCCTCATCTGTGAAATGCGGATACCATCGTTTCTAACTCTTAGGGTTATTATGAAGACTCAATAAGTTAATTCAATCCTGGCACACATACACACAGTGAGTGTTCAGCAAACACTGGCTGCTGTTGATTACACTCTTATGCATATGAATTCAGTTATAAGTCTAGATGTAGGTGATTAATTTCCTGCCAGAGGAATAATCGAAATCAAATTACTATAGCCTAAGAAGACTACACAACCTTAAAAATCCTTGCAGAAAATTTCTTCCTCAGGGTCTGTACTAAGCACATAAAGCATTCTGCTCAGACTCAAAATCACAGAAGTAACTCCATCTTTTCTTTCATCTTGTAATCCTTCAATTCATTCTTTACACTCCAAAGTCTCCCTCTTTCCTTCTATTCTGTCTCTGAAGGTCAAGGCCATGTGACCCTATACCCATTCCACTAAAACCCGTAACTGTCCTCGATATCATCAGTCTCCTCTTCCCTGTGGGCTGAGTTCAGGTCCTAAATTGATACTTAGTACCTAGAGCACCCACCTCTGAAGCTTTACCTTTATTGACTCTTTTGTTGATTACAATGGCATTCAAAATCCTTTCTCAGGCTTATCCTCAAACACTCCTCTCAAATCAAAGTCTTCTTACTATTCTCTAAGCATGTCTTTCATAATTCCTACTCTAAGCCAACAAATTCAAGCTTCCAAGGGTCTGTGGGTGATATGCTGGAGAGGGATTGGATCAGAAGAACTTTAAAATTCTTTCCATCCTGTAAACCATTTGTAGACAGTCTACAAATCCAGGATTAATAATTGCTTTGCCTTTATTATGTGCTAAACATCACATAAATTGCCTTTGTTTTCTGTTCATTCAGCCATTTAATTCCTCATGACAGTCTTAGGAAGGAGATAGTATTACTATCCTGTGTTAAAGATGAGAAACGTGGTCTATGAGAAGATACATTGTGGGTCTGAGTTTACCCACCCAAGATGAACAGACTTGAATCCAGAGCTTCGAGACACTGAGGCCCTGCTCTAGTTTCTATTAGAGTGTTGTCTCCTGAGCCTCGGCTAGCCTGTGTGAAAACTTTCCAAGTCATATGACCCTATACCCATATCTCCACTCCTGCTCTCATCTATGTTTTTATTTTAATACATAAAAAGACAAAAAGAAAACATTCATGGCTCCTCTCCAGAGCAGCATAGCAGAATCACCCAGAGGACTTCTACATCTGGGTTTCACCAGAACCTGGATCAGAATCTCTATAGATATGCATTTTGGAAGGTGCTGCTCAGCGATTCCAATAGGCATCCCGGGTTAGAACCCTGCCAAGCAAGTGGTTTAAGACATGGTCTTTCTCTGTGGCCAGTAGTACCTGGCTTTGATGAATGGCTCTTAATCCCTTTGTTTTGGTAGAATCCAGAGAATAAATAGGCAGCTGCGTGTTCACAGGAAATGTAAGTATTTGACTACACAGAACAGTGGTGCATCTGGAGGTTTGGGGGTCCAGCTATAACCAGACTGTCCTAAACAAATGGATTGACTGCTTCCGGCCCCATCACTTCACTTCTGCATGGTGACTGACATCCGGAGCTTAACTCCTGATAGCCAGGATGTAGGAAGTGAAGGAAACCTTTTAATTTATAGTAAGCAGAGATCAGTTCCTTTTTTTACCCTCCCTGGCTCATTTTTTGTTTCTACTTGAAACAAAAAAATCTTGTGTAGTTTTCTCCTGTGTGAAATTTCTCAGGTATATACCAAAACCCAAGAAAAATACATATAGTTGTCAATACACCACAATTTCTACAAGAGACATTTCCAAAATTTGTTTGGAGTAGTAAAGATACAAGGCTCTCTTTAAAAAGTATTTATCATTGAGGGAATCCTTTCTTAAGTTTTTTTTTTTTAATTTAAGATCACAATACGTTTGATTAACTGCAGCAGTAGAAAAATATCTTTACTATAAACAAAGTCTACCTTTTCTCTGAAAGAATAGAGTACTGAAGGTAGGAAATGAGGCTAATTTCAGTTTCATTAATAATATTTAAAATGAAGTCATGTTATAACTCTCCCTTCCAACCTCATAGCTAGACAACTGGAATATTTATTTATTTCTCCTTCCGAGAAAATAAGAGTGGCTGTTACCTTTAAGCAACATGCACAGTTAATTAATGGATGCAAGGAAAATGATTCTGTCTGCCTTTAAATCAGGCACAAGCATGTAGAATTTAAGAGATCTGACCTTAAAAATGAAGAAAATATTATTGTAATTACTCCATTTGCTAAAAACAAATGATGTGACATTTGAATTTAAGACTTCTATCAAAAGCAGTTGAGTGGCTCTAATCAGTTCACACCTTCACATTTTAATGGAGTTGAGTTTGAGCCATTGCATTCACAATTATTGAGGCTGACTTCATGCCTTCGAAATGACTTAAAAAGATTAGCATTCATGGATTATTTATTAGCTCCTTGTGAATGTATTTCCAAGAATGGAAACAACATATTGCATCAAAGTCTAGTTTCCAAGTTTAACTCTTTTAATTAACAGCGCGACTTCATGTTGTTGCAAAGGCGTCTCTGAAGTCACAGGACGTTTTGTCATGCTCTTTCCTCCATGTGCATCTTTAGTGGCACTCTTTGTTCCTTGCAAGCTCAGGGAGAATGCTAGCCCCAGCCCTGGCGGCCACCTGTGATATGTTGTAAACACCACCGTTTGCAGTAAGCAGGCTGCTTAGACAGGCTGATCCTGGCTTGCTGCAGCTATCACTGATAGGGAATGCCTGTCTTGGGCTCAGCAGAGAACCTGGTGACACGGTGACACTTGCAGTTTAACCCTACCACACTTTCTGCCTAGATAACAAAATTGTCATGCACGTGTCCCTGACAGCAACCCCAGAGGAACTGCAGGTTGGAGGCAGTGCTGGTGGCATGTGGCCGGCCTATCTGCCATCAGAAGCCCTGCGTTTCCAGCTGGGCTGCGAATTACCTCCTAAAGACAGTAGAAAGCAGTCCCAGTAGAGGACTCCTGGCAGGCAGGCAAGAGACAATGAATCTTGCAGGGAGGGCCTTGTGCTAGTGGAAAGCCAGGCCTCAAGTTAAAGCTGACAAAGGCACGAAAGGGCGGCTTTTCAGGGGACCTGAGACCCTTCCAAGAAAAAGCAGAAAGGGAGCAAAACAAAAAAACTGAGGGCCTGGACTAGAACAGCGCTGGAGCCTGGAGCCTGCGTGAATCTCCTCTGGAAAGGCTTGTTTTCTTGCACCCAAGGAAGGAGTGGTGGTCGCCGCAAGTCTGGGATTTGTCTTCTGAAATTCTGATTCTTGGCAGTGGTTTGATTTATACACACTTTCATACACAGGCTGTGAATGCATTTTGCTACCTTTTTTTTTAACCTAAGGGCATGATAGATAAAACCAAATGCCTTAACTTTTTAGAAAATCTGATATAGCAAAATTTGCAATGGGTACAAGTGATGGCTGGTTACTTGTTTTGTTTATTTATAGAATCCTTCTGAAAAGGTCTATCCAAACAATGATGCCTATATGACATTTATTTTATTCATTGATTTATGAAAAGTTTATTTATACAAAATGGCACCACTAATATAAAAAACAAGAACCACCTTTAACTTTTTTCCTAAATGTTGGAAACATACAAATAGGATCATTTATAATACGTGTATACTATCTTGTTATGACATGTCTGAGGTCCAAGTTAAAGCAAATTTAGTTAATGAAAATTTGCCTTTGTTGAGGTAAAAATGGATTCATATTATTTAAAATATGAAACTGAGATAGATGACGTCACAAAAATTATCTATGTTACTTGTTATAATTCTTACTAAACTCAAACAACAAAAATTGGGGTGATAAAAAATCAAATTTTGAGAATAAGGATTGCTATTTTGCGTGTGTGTGTATGTGTGTGTTATTGTCTTATTTTGTTTTGCTCTGTTTTGAGACAATGTTGACTACGTTGCCTAGGCTAGCCTCTATCACCTTAGCTCATGTGATCCTTCTGCCTCAGCCTCCCACGTAGCTGGGACTTTAGATACATGCCATTGTCCCCGGCTGGGATTGCTGAAAACAAATTGACTTAAAACTGATGAGAAAAATTTTGGTTTGGCTCACTGGATTTGCTGATTTGCTCCAGAGTTCAGCAATATGTCATTCATTCACTTCTGTGTTCATCATTAACTCAACAGCTACCTGTCCAGTGCTTGCTGAGAAGTAGACATTGTGTATGTATTAAGGAAGAGAAAATGAGTCCATGTGGAACTGTGTACAAGACAGGATATGATAAATGCACAAAGGAAAGAATGTCATGAGGGGTTGCATTCCGCTTGAGCTATCTTCTCATGGATGGGGAAAAGTTGGACAGTAGTGGTGCTGGGACTGGTGGCAGTAAGGAAAATCCTCCAAACACTTTGGTATAGAAGGTCCAGTGCTCCCTGCCACGAAACCATCTGTGTCCATGAACATGGAGCAAGAGAATAGCACTTGTGTGCTTGTGGGCTCGCTGGGTGAGAACTGACTCAATACTCCTGGTTTCCATGCTGACTCTTTCATGTCCTTGGGCAAGACACCTATGGGCTTCAGGTTACTTTTACAAAATGTTCTTACCATGACAAAATAATTTGTAGATAGAATTTCAATATATACCATTATAGAAAAAAAAAGCATAAATACAGATATATGAAAAGAAAACAGCATCCTTAATTCCATGCATTGGAAAGATTGCATGGGGTATCCCACTAGACTTTTCCTTTATATAGCTATATTTCTAGAATGGAAATAGTATATTACACATATGGTTTTATAGTAAACTTTTATCATTTATATCACAAATATCTTTCTATATCAGTAAGCATATATTTACAACACCATGCTTAATATTTTATGAATCCATCTTCTTCTGTAGATTATTTCAATAGCATACTTTTATATAGATCTTTGTGTATATGTTCAATTTCAAATTGAAAACAATTTCTTAGAAGTATCATTGCAAGATAAAAAGATCTACATTTAATTCTGCAGTGTCTAAAATAAGATTTAAATTTAACTAAATTAATCATTAGTTTAAGGTTTTTATGCATTTTGATATAATGTTATTCTATAAAATGTTTATCAATTTATACTCACATCCATACAAGGTATTATCTCTCTTTTAAATTTTTGAAAAGCTGATAGTTAAAATCTTGTCAACTTACCTGTATTTCTTCCGTTATCTATGCTGATTTTTTTTCATATTCATTAGTCATGTATCTTTTGTGTATGTGAATCATCGGAGCAAGTCCTTTATCATTGTTATGCCTGGAGTGTTTGCTTTTGTTGTTTTGAAGGAAGCTTTTACATAGGAAGAAATTGAAGCCTTTGTCATGCATTTTACAATATTAAGATAAATTTCCAATGGTCTTTTATTTTTTTGTATTTCTCTCAGACAGGCTCCCATAAAAGCAATGCTTTATTTTTTGGGAATTGTTTTTAAATAAAACAAGAAATTAAAGTCTTCATATTTCCACCATTTAGCATGCAACCTTCTTAACACCAATGTGTACATTCCAGACCTTTCCTACGTTCTTGTTATAAAATTGGATTGTAGTATACTTTCTTTTTGTTATGTGCTTTTTCTGTTTAGTGATCATAAATGTTTCCATTGCAATAAATATTTGTGTGTATCTTTTGAGTATATCTTGACTATTTTCCCTGGAACATAGTTCTGAAAATTTCTGGGTCAAAGAGTAGACACATTTTTTTAAATTTCGATATGTGCTTCTCAGCCAGGCTTTTTCTGCCATCTGGAAGTTGCTCATAGGAATTGGCCTCGGTGCTAGGGGTCTGTAGGACTGTGCTGCCCTTTCGGCTGAGCTCCTCTACATGAGGACTGAAGCAGAACCATGGAGTGGAGAGAAGATGCTAAAATAAAAGCCCTAAGTGGCTGGGTGTGGGGCACCCTGGTGGACAGTGATCTGACCTGGGGATCCTGGGTCTCTAAGGCCTGGGAAGGTGCACCAACGTGATACAACACAGGGTGCCTCCCTTGTTTTTAGAATGGCAGTCCTACCCACTGGACAAAAGCATGGGAGGCAGGGCCATTACTGGGTTTGTCAGATGGTGTCAGGGCCACCAACAGGCAAGGGAGGCTAAAAAAATTTTTGGGTGGCAAGCATGGCCAGTATCATGAATAATGGCACTTTTAGAATTTTTATTCATTTATATGATAATTTGGGGGATTTTTTTAAGTGCAAAACAAAATTTACCAATCTGTTTTTAATTACATGGTTCATTAGTGCTGTACATTGTTGTGTAATCAGCCCAGAACTTTTTCATTTTGCAAATCTGGACTCTATACCTACTAAATAACTATTTCCCCTCCCCACAAACCTCTGGCAATACACACTTACATTTTGTCCCTATGATTTTTCCTAATATAAGTAAGTACCTGACATAGGTAGAATCATATAGTATTTATCTCCTTTTGTCTGGCTTATTTCACTGGCTTATAACAGCTTCAAAGTTCATTCATATTGTAGCATGTATCTGAATTTTATTCCATTTTTAAGGTTGAATAATATTCCAAGGTACATTTATACCACCATTCATCTATCCATGAACATGGGTTACTTCCACTTCTTTGCTATTGTGAAAAATTCTTCTATGAACCTAGGTGTACAAATACCTTTTTTGAGATCCTGCTCTCCATTCTTTTGAATACAGAACCAGAGTGGAATTGCTGAATTACATGTCAATTCTATTGCTGTGTGGATATACAGTAATGACTTTTGATTTTTGGAGGAAACACCATACTGTTTTTCATAGTGACTGCACCATTTTACATTTCTATCAGTGTTGTTCAAGGGTTCCCATTTCTCTACATCCTTGCCAAAACTTGTTATTTTCTGTTTTTGTTTGGTTTTGTCTTATAGTATTCATTCCTAATGGGCATGAAGTGATATCTCATTGTGGTTTTGATTTGCATTTCTCAATCTAGAAAGAATCCTACTGAGAAAGTAGAAGTATCTCTGCAAGGGAAAGCCTGGCTCACAGACCAAAATGTGAGAAGTGAGTTCCCATCATAGCTCTGAGGTTGGCCATGCCTTCACACATCCTCAGTCAACTCTCAGTTTCCTCCTTTCTCTCAGCCATACAGGTGAGAACTCCAATACCTATTCAATCTCCGTTTTCCATGTCACTACAGAGGAGCATTGAATTAGCCTCCAAGGATAACAAGGCCACTAACTTTGTTCCAAAGAAACAGAGGTGTATATAAATATGAGGTACTAGGAGCAATTTGCCAAAATCTGAGTAAAGGCTCACAGAACAAGGCAGGACCCTGAAGTCACATCACAGGAAACATTATTAGTGGCTCACTCCAAATCCTGCAGTGACATCTATTTTTAAATACTGTAATCCACTCTAAACCAGGCACTTATCATTTTATCTGCGTGGTGAGCCTGACCATATGTCTCTGCTTTTCCTCCTTCATAAACTAAAACAAACTCAGAATTTTGAGTTTTCACTGCCCCACTCTTATAGCCACAGAGACAATAACAGATTAAATAGGACGAACCAAGCAGCCATACTTCTTGTAAAGTTATCCCTAGAGATAAATGTACAATGTTGTTCTGGAGGCTGTGGTGGTGTCTGCAGTGTAACTGAGGTTGACAGACTGCCTGCATGTGGGTGGCTGTCTCCTTTCCAGCTGTGACCAGCTGAATTATATCACCTGTCCTGTTTGATGTATTAGGATATGCCCAAGCTCAAGACGCATGTTGCTGCAATAGGGAAATTAATGTCCACCACTGGAGGCAATTAATAATGATTAGGAGCAAAACAGCAGGGTTAAATCTGTGCATTTAACAGAGTGTTCATACACTTTTATACTATATTTCAGCCTAGTTGCTCAAAGGGAAAAAAAAACCTTTTGGGAGACTAGAACAATCTTATCTTAATTAATGCGTAAACTTAGATGAAATGTCAAAGTCACTTCAATGAGACATGCTTATTCATTATTTACTTAATCCTCCCTTTCTGGGGTTGTAGACAAACAAGCACAAGAAGTAGCATACTATCATAAGAAATGTTAAGATTGGATAGTGAGTACGACTCTTGGACTTCGGAATTGCTGCATTCAACCTATGAACCGAAATGATAATTTTTCACCACTTTTATTTTTATCATTCTGCAGTCAAGGCCTTTCAAAAGAGCAGAAAATGGTACAACATCGATTTGCAATGCTGTCTGGTGCAACTGCATGAACAATGCTCCGTGGTGGGCAACTAATTTTCATTTGGTGACTAAAATCTAGATACAAATTTGGACATTAGAACTTAAATGGAGAGTCGGGTACTGTGGCAGGTGTCTGTAATCCCAGCAACTTGGGACGACACTGAGGCAGGAGAATTCCAAGTTCAAGGCCAACCTTAGCAATTTAGTGAGGAGTGAGACCCTGTCTTAAAATAAAAAAATAAATAAATAGAAAGGGATGGGATTGTGGTACAGTGGTGAAGTGTTCCTGGGTTTAATTCCTGGTACCAAAAAAGAAAAAAGAAACCTAAGTGAACAAAGTATCTTGCCTGCCAAATGCAGAAAACAGTGAACACTGATAGATTATAAATCTATACCACAGAAGAACCTGAACAGTGTTGATGAAGTAAACATACATGGATCTTCCTGCCTCAGCCTTCTGTGCCGCTGGGATTACAGGCGTGTGCCATGGCACCCGGCCAAGAAAACTATGTTCTTAACCTAAGAGATGATGCTGTTCTCTTCGATTGAAAACTATGAGATAAAGATCTCGGAAAACTTCAGAGCTCTATTTTATTATGATGGAATCTAAAATTAAAAACTCTGAAGTAATTCCTTCACCATGAACCTGAAAATGCTGTGGTGACCCTGGAGTCCTGCTAGCAAACTGAGCTCATGACGGAGGCCAAGGCCACCCAGGAGGATAGCTCTACCTCTCCCTTCCCTGTCACTGTCCTCAAGAGTGACTCAGTCTGCACAACTCCCAAAGAGACACAATTAAAAGTGAAAAATTTAGGCGATGATCAGTCATTTGGCTTACTTAATCCAGATATCTAGGTCCTTGGATATAACTGAAATACATGATTGAATTTTTAATAGCACTTATAAATATTGGGCACCATTTTCAAGTAGCTATCTAGCATCCTGTGACTCCAAATACTAGTTTAGTTTCAGTAATTCATTCATTTATTCATTCAGTTGTTCATTAGATAGTCTTTATGTCCTCATCACCATCATTTTTTCATTTGCCTTGAAATCTCAACATGGTTGAGCACAGATGAGTTAAGTTTTAAAGGCAAGATAAACCTACTGCTTATCTTTCCACGGATTGTGTCACTTTATTTATTTATTTATTTATTTTTAGGGATCTGTTCACTCAGCAGAGAATTTTTGAGTGCTTTCTATGTGTGCAGCATTCTTCTGGATGATCACACAAAGATATAAAAACCAAAACCCAGGGACTCTATTCTAACTTAGCATATTGATTAGATGCCAACCTTGTGCTGGGCATGTTCTGTTCCTTTGCTCTACCTTGTGGATTGGGCATTACACCTACTTACATTTGAGGAAATTGAGTCTTAGGAAGATGAATTTTTCCAGATGACTTTGACCTGTATAGACTCAGGATTCTAAACCTCAGATTTTTGTGTTTTTTCCCCCAGCATTTCAAGTTCTTGCCAGAACACGGCAGCCTCCCTGAGGGAGGTGGCCCATCCAACAGCAGATCTGGTAGATGTGTTCATGCAGCCCTCCCTTGACCAGAGAAAATGCTTCTGTTACATGGATCTGGTGGAATTTCATAAGTGCTGAGCCAACAGTGGTTACCTTGTACTAATCAGAAAAAAAATGTATGAATATACAAGGATTTGAAAATACAAATTAGTAGACATATAAGTACTATCCCCAATAGTAGAATAAAATTATTTTGAAGCACACAAAAATCATTTATGCAAATGTTCTACACTATAAACCAAACACAAATATTGACAGATTTTAAATTATTGGTATGACTCAAATCACATTCACTGACTACAGTGAAATTAAGTTATAAGTAAATTATTTAAAAATTTTAAAAGCCATTTGTTTTGAATATTTAAAAACTGTACTATCTAAAATAGTCCATGTTCAAGATGAAATCTTGTTGGAAATTCAAAGATGCTTAAAAGTTTTATTTATTTTATTTTAAGGGGAAACATTGTTCATTAAAATTTGCAGGATGAAGATTGGGTTGTGGCTCAGTGATAGTGCAGTTGCCTGGCAAGTGTGAGGCACTGGGTTCAATGCTCAGCACTGCATATAAATAAATAAATAAAGGCCTATCAAATAACTAAAAAAAATTTTAAAAAACTTGCAGAATGAAGAAATAATGTTTAGAATAGATGAAGGAGTCTCAAAACACAATTGTAATAAATAAAATAAATCAATTATAACATGAGCAAAAATATAATGAGACATTTCACCATTATATGGTAAATAAGCACGTGAAAAGATGTTCAACATCATTATCAACTGGGGAAATACAAAATTAAAACCACAATAAGATATCCTACAAGTCTCTCAGATGACTAAAAATATAGTGATAACACCAATGCAGGCCAGAATGTGGAAAGATGGGGTCATTTGTACATTGCTGATAGGGGTGTAAAAAGAT